CCCCCCCCCCCCGTTCTCACTCCCCGTGGAGTGCGTTTCTTACAATTAGTCTTGCGCCGCCAACAAACTCGAGAGGCCCACAACCCCTTGCGCTGACCACCGTGCTCTCCCTGTCGTAGTCTAGGTGATAAGCCGTACAGCGCGCAGGCTCGATAAGCGTGCACGAGCACGCATGGCTAGGGGGCACCCAAGTGACATCAACCCCCAATAATTACGATACCTCTTGCAGATATAGAAGTATGGTGTGTAAGGGGGGGGGAAGGGTCACTTGCACCCTCCCCCAAAAATCAACATCCAGAATATGAAATGGGGACTTGGACGTTCCGCTGCAAACGTACCATATCGTTATTTTTGAACCCGTTCAACAAGTACGACCTGAGCCCACTCTGTGGGTTGTCCACCCCTTGGCATTGTTTGCCCACTGCTCCTCCCAAGTCATTTTCGGCAACCTCTCTTCTCCCATATCTGCATCCGGTACTGCCATTGGTGCCTCGTAGGGCGAGATATAGCTGGTGGAGTATTTAGACACTACTGTAGTATCCCACCGGTAGAGGATTCTACAAAATACCCCACCGGGGGTTGTTGCGGGGCGTATTCAAAACAAGCCGATTTACAGTCGTTTCCTTGCATCACTTCCCGTCCGTAGGGATTGGAGCCCCAATTCTACCCTTACTGCTGCATCACTTGTGCGCTCGGAGCTCCCCGAGAATATCTTGGCTGTTTTCATCTTCACCGCCTCCATCTCATTTTCTGTCTTCAATTTTTCTTCCAGTACGCTTGAATGTCGTTTCCTGTTTTCATCTGCACCCCCTCCATCTCGTTTTCTATCTTCATTTTTCCGTCCATTACTTCTCCGTCGTGTACTCTAGCGGCGGGATGATAACGCTATTCAATGTGTTTCTTTCATCACTTTTACAGTAGTTCGATGCTTGTATCAACACGCTGGTCTGCGAGACTTGGGCCTAGCTTCCACGCCCGAGCTTTGTCTTCTTCCGCCCTTAATCTATGCATGTATGCATCCCATTTCAAGTCTTTTGCATCCTCTACCACAAGACACGTGTACGTGTTCACTATTGGAACGTCCTTGTCCCCCAACGTCAGCTTGGGATCAACTGCACCCTCACCATCTTTCTCGCACACCACAATGGCACATATTGGAACGTACGTAGACCGACTATCTCCACCTATCAGCAAAAACCTCCGCTTCCAACCCTTCGCTTCGTTGGTCGGCATATATTCTCTTCGCGTCCTTCTGGAATATCCGACATTCCAACAATTGCTCCCGCAAACAGCAATGCTCCCCACATCGAACGCTCCCCTCCTTCCCCACAGCGTCCACGATTTCAACAAGTCGTTCGTGAACGCCTGAGACAGAGTTGGGAACATCGTGCACCCTTGTAGGACCCGTTGCTAAAGGTCGAACAACTTGGACAGTTTTCCATCCAACATCATGTCGCTTTTCGTGAACTCTGGCATTTTCTCAACATTCTCCACACACCTTCCTGTATTCCCCATACATACATCGGAACCTGTTCCGAAGCCCATTGCTCCATACTGTATCAGGCCCTCCGCAGTACTAGGAAAAAGCACTTCCACGTCACTTATCGAAAGATCCCCCCTACCGTCGCCGCCGCTGCGGTTACCAGTGACGGCGATGTAGGTATGGCAGTGTCTTCATGTTCTGCCACCCGCTCAACGAACTACCAGCGGCAAGGTATCTGAACGCGTCCATGCCATTGATCGAGGAGCTGTCTGGGAACCCAGCACACACCCCACCTCTTCGAAGATTTGTTTCTCATCATTTTTCTGAGCGTGTCTGCTCGTTGTCCTGCTGCGCGTCATGCTCCAACAACCAGGCAGTTCCACTGATAACCGGCACCCTGTCCAGCCTTGTCCCGACTGCGGTTTGGCCGATCGATTCGTGGTCAACCACGGCAAGGTAAGAGGTGTCGTACAATTTCTAGAACAGAGACGTAAGGTGTTGAAGACCGTACAACCGAGAAGCTTCGGCCCACGCTAACCGTTGACTGCGACCGCGGACTCCTCGCAAACACAAGAATCCTCAGGAAACAAGTTGCCGATGTGCAAGCCAACGTGAACATAGTCGAAACCCATCTGGACCCAGGACTCCGCATACTTCATTACCGACACTGTTCTGTTGCTTGCTGCCTACTTGTAGATCGTCATTGACACCGATGCGCTGGATATGTGTGCACCTTCACGTTTCGGACCCTCCCCTTCGACTCTATTACTTATCCATTGCTTTCGGATAGAGCGGCCGACGAGCGAGTGCTGCCGTGCCCCTCCCCACCTTCTCATCACCGTCCTGGCCCTCACTTCCCCCTGGTGAAACTTGGGTCTCTCCGTCACGGGTCACCGGGCAATGGTTTCACCGTATTTTGCGCTCGTGTCTTGAATATGTTTAGACTGATCGTTGTGGTGATTGAAACGAGGCTGAAGGAGGTACCGAGGTCGTTCTGTCATACACCCGAAACGTAACGTATGTGCTCCCCCCGATGGGGCCTGCTGCGTGCATGCATAAGCTGCTGCACCACTTTTGATCCCTCACCGCGTGATCTCGAGGTAGCTAGCGGGACATGCTGTTCTCGCTTGATGCTCGCCCTACTCGTTCGCCCGTCAACCACGCACAGTATCTTTTGCGACGAAGTCCTGATGTTTTTCCTGACAGATGGCATCCACTATTGTGGAAATCCACAAGGGTCAAGGGAGGCATCCGTGGGCAAGGTTTCCGCTGTGAAACGTGTTGCCGCAAATAGTCTAGTTCACGCAAGAGCTGTAGTAGCTCATACTGTAACAACTGCCACGTCCACCTCTCACGCATCCCGAACAGCCCATTTCTCACCGTTTGCTCCCCTTCAGCGCCCGTGTTCGCCTGGCATTGATAGTCCATTTTCCGTCATTCGGGTGTACAACCCGCCGGTGGTCTTTGTCTCGCACTGCTGTATTTGCTAACGATGCCTTCCTTCACGGTAGGAGTCGATGCTTGAAGCTCGGCAGCCCTGGAAGCGTGGATGGCGCTACTGGAGGGTGTCACCACGCGTGATTCCGAGAAGGAACTCATTTTTCGGGGTAAGTACTCGTTGTTCGTGATATATATTTATTAATGCAAGGGTTTGGTGAGGGGCGGCGGCGTGTTGCCGATGCGGTAGCTGGTAGTGGTGGTGCTCGCGGTGCAGCTGCTGCTCGCTACGGTTGAGGGCAATATTTTGGGATGAGGGCATTATTACCGCTTCTGTGTCCAATTTCCCTTGCATTCTAGCCTGTAGCCAACGGTACGGTAGAGTTCCTCCTGCCACGACACGGAAGCGTACGGTAACCATGGTAGCCTTTCCTTCCACGAAGCACCTACAGCAGAAGTAGACAAACCCGAGTCCATGTCTTCCGTTCCACGCATCTATCGAATTCTGCAACATGCTCTCGTGCGACACGCAACTATCGCAGGACACTTTGCGGGCGGATGACTCGGGGGACTCGTTCAAGTTCTCCATGGAGCTCGGGTCGTTCACGTTCGCCCCCGCGTCCGCCGTCCGTGGCGACAGCATTTCTGTCGATGACTACCTGCCCATCCCGGATCATTCTTGTCGACGGCACCGGTTGTAAATTTAGTTAACCTGGAGGTCACAGAGGTCGGGGACCTGATTCTTCGGCAGGGCGGCATCCCGGCCTACCCGACTGACCACACACCGCTGTGGGCCCACCGTGCTACGGGGTCGGTCGGGAGTACTACCTACGGGGGCTCGGGTGTGCTCTGGAGGCATGGTGGGAAAGGGCCACCAACGACGGAGAAGCCATGGGCGTTCCCGTCCACCTGGCCAAGAAGAACGGCAGGTGGAGGGTCGGCCGGGGATGGATGTGCACCTTGGGACGAAGTCCCAAGGTGGCGCGAGGGTGGAGGGTGCAACTGCCGTGGGACTCCCACGGGAAGACCCTGAAGGCAGCGTCGTTGCAGCTCCGGGACAGCAGCGTGGTGATGACCACGGAAGACGGCCACGACCACATCCTGTGGAGCTCTTCGCGCTCACCGTGAACGGGGGTGTACATGTAGGGTGCCGTCAGTGGTTGCTTCCTGAGTCATTCGACGATTGGTCGCGCATGTATTGGTGCCCGTCCTTGTGACGGAGGTACGATGGAAGGAAGGATGGACGCACGGATAGAGAACGGTTTATTTGTGAATGCAGAACCACAGCCCTTCTGTTGCTCCGACGTGTACATTTAGTTTGTTATTATAGTGTCTGCTAGCGGGCGTGGTGAATCATGTCATGTCTTGTCGGTTTTGTTTGTTGTCGTTAGAGCTCGTTCTACGAACGTATCCTGCATGGTGCTGGTGCGAAGGTGTACCAATTCAGGCAAAAGTCAATCGACGGATACCCTGCGAATCGGGTTCTCCTTAACACAGGGCTCAAGGTTGGGTTCTCGGTTTGTTCGTCCGTTTGGTGGTTTACCCTTGTGCTGTCTTGCATTCGCCCCCCACATGGAGTAGTTTTCTTTGTTTCAAAGTGCATCTTTCTTTGTTTTTCCCTGATGATGAGAGCTCGGGAAGCATATCTTATTCGCGCTGATTTCGTCATCTGTCGAAAATGCTGGTGATTGTCAAATATTAGTGCACGGGGCTGAGGGCCTTCCGCCTCATGCTATCTACATGAATGTCGGGCTCTTTGATCGTTCGAATCGGTCGTTCTTTCGGGGGAGTATTATTCATTTGCGCTGAATATGGCGCGCTGGAGGTTGTGTGCCACGGCATCACACAACTAAGAAGGGAGATATTGTCTTGAGCGGTACACCTATATTAGGCAATGTGTCTGATTTGAATTTTCGATACCCTAGTGTGGATTGTGTTCGGCGACTGACAATCGCCACGCATGTAGGCTGTAACTTGACACCTTGGCAGCGGGGAAACACGTGTAGACAAGCTATCCGACATTTATCTGGAAGTGCCGTCAGTGTTGCACCTTTAGAACGTACCACCGAGGTTATTCGTTGTTTTCCGGCTTGCTGCTTGTAGCCGTTGTTGCTGTCTTCCATTACATAGAGTCCGTGCTGACCTGAGGTCAGGACCTGTGTTCCCTGCATCCATTTAGACTGTGTCCACTTTGTCAAGTAGGAAACTCTAGGGAAGTAGTGTCATACCACCTCATCGCCTTGGCCACTCACGTATAAGTTGAGGCTCCAATCGGACGGGGACGTCCATGTCTTGGTCACCGTTCTTGGCCCTTTCCCACCATGCCTCCAGAGCACACCCGAGGCCCCCATTGGCAGTGCCCCCGATCGACCCCGTGACACGGTGGGCCCACAGCGGTGTGTCGTCCGTAGGGTAGGCCGGGATATCGCCCTGGAGCTGCTTCTGGCAGAATCAGGTCCAGGGCGACATCCCGGCCTACCCCACTGACAACACACCGCTCTGGGCCTACCGTCCTACGGGGTCGGTCGGGGGTACTGCCAACGGGGGGCTAGGGTGTGCTGTGGAGGGATGGTGGGAGAGGGCCACGAACGGTGGCAGAGACATGGGCGTCCTCGTCCACCTGGCCATGAAGAACAGCAGGTGGAGGGTCGGCCGGGGTCGGATGTGCACCTTGGGACAAAGCCCGAGGCCTGCTGGCGGGTGGAGGGTCCACCTTCCGTGGGACTCCCACGGGAAGACCCTGAAGGCGGCGTCGTTGCAGCTCCGCGACGGCAGCGTGGTGATGTCTACGGAGGACGCCCACATCCTTTGGAGCTCTTCGCCCTCGCTATGAAGGGGGATGGCGTGAAGTCAATTGTTGCTTCCTCAGTCATTCGACCATCGGTCGCGCAAGTAAGCAACTGCCCGTTCTCAAGACGGAGCGCCGACGAAGGGAATAAGGGTCGCGACGCATGGATGGAGAACGGATTATTTGTGAACGCAGGACAACAGCCCTTCTGTTACCGTGTCGTGTACGTTTGGAATTTTGCAGTTCTGCGAGCGGGCGTGGTGTTAATATCATGCCTTGTCGGTTCTATTCGGACTTAGAGCTCGTTCTGTGAATGTATTCTGCATCGCACTGGGGTCCAGGTTGAGTTTGCGGCCTGCTCATCCGTTTGGTGGTTGCCCATGTGGTGTCTTGCATTCACCCCCCACACGGAACAGTTTATTTGCTGCAAAGTGTGTGTTACTTTGTTCTGCCGTGCTAAATAGCTCGAGATGTGTCTGTCACGCGCGATATTTTTTCATTCGAACCTGCTGGTGGTGTCAATCGGTGGTGTGCCGATTTGAGTTCGAGAGTGCGGCTATGTCCTGGCGCTATCGCGTTCGATTTTATGAGATGACCTTCGCGATGAGCCTAATTCAGAACAGGTGCCCTTACGATGAACGAACCGTATGCATGACGGTGCTGTACTCCGGAGGCGCGAGCTTATGTTTTATGTTTTGTCTTCTCCATGATGTCGGGTCCCTTGGATCTCTCAATTCTATCGTTGTTTCGGGGAGCATCATTCGTTTGCGCTGAATACGCTGCGCAGGGTATCTGTCTTTGCCACGGCGCGGCGAAGCCAACAAAGCGGGGGGTTTTCCGGGGTAGTGCACTTTTACTGACATTATTTTGAAGATTTTCCGACACCCTACATGGGGATGATTTTGGGCGACTGGAAAGCCGTCACACAGAGTATGTACGGTCAGAATCGTACAGGCGATTAGTTTTCTTCCGCACCAGAAACTAATACGAAAAACGACTAACGAGTTTCAGGCAACACAGTAGCTCCAATAACTCACTCCCCCCCCCCGCTCCAGAACCCCCCCCCCGATGTTTGCCGTCGGGGTTGGGTTTTCGTCGCTTGGCAACGACGTTGTAAAACAAGCCAATTCAC